TTTCGCTGCCTCCGACGCTACTACACTCTTCACGCCTTCCGCTGCCTTCATTCATCGCCACCTTTCACCACTTCTAACCGCTCTGTTTACTCTTCAAGGTAGTGCAACCGACATACCTGTGGGCACTCTGTTCCCATTCACGATTACGTTGCTTTGGGGCGAATGTATTGGCTCAATGGAATCTTTTTTAAACCATCACTACATTATATATTCCCAATTAATCATCAGAAGTCAATGCCCTCTTCTATAGTCCACTGACTGGCCCTTCGACTGGCAACATTTTCAACCATATTATCAATGAAGGTCTGAATCCGCAACAGAGGCGTCAACTTTTGAGCCTCCTTGACAAGGTTCACTCAGCTTTTGACAGCCAAAGCACTACTTTAGGCCAAACGTCGATTGTGGGCCACCAGATCGACACGGTCAATCCCCCACCACTACAGCAGCGACCACGCTTGACATCGAGCTCATGGGCAAGACAACAGGTGTATGACTGTCATAACTCATTTAAAAGATATGCATCTGTATTGCTCAAAATAAAAAAAAAGCACCCAGTGTAAACATGCTCACTAAAATCACAGTGCAAAAACATTCCAAAAGCCGCTTGAGTACATAATTGAAAATATACTCTGACTTAACACAACAAAATATAACAAAATCTACCCAGACCTTTCGCCACCTATGCAGGTAGCACCCTCAGTATCCACTGCCACCAAATGAGAGAAGGTCACCCAGTCTACATCTAGTCTCGTATGCCCTTGTACACATCCAGTAGGGGGCCACGGTTGTTGTTGCACGCTGACAGGTCGCGGCAGATGAACCACGACTAGAGAAGCTTTCTTTTGCCCCATCTTTGTTCCTAAGCCAGTGTCGTCGCATTACTGAAGCCGAAGGCATGTTCCGTCAACCAGCAGTGTTTGGCGAGTTCGGTCTTAGAATATGTAGCATGGGAGGCTTTAGCGATGTCTCCTTTGCGCTCCTTGAGCCTTGTTGACCGCTTCCTCCCTGTTTCATCGATGTATGTAGCATCGCAGTCCCCACATGGTCCCTCGTAAACAATCCCACTTTGATCGTTTGCAGGGGTGCGGTCTTGCAGGGGTGCGGTACAATGAGATTTTCAATGGTTTTAATACTCAGTGGACAAATATCCCTCTAAACAAGGTCTAACACACCCTGAACGTAAGGAATGGAAACAATAAATGTTGCGTTTTCCAGCGCCACACTCTTTGTTCTTCTTCACATACGTTTCAGGGTGTCATTGATGAACGTCATCGAATAATGCCTTGGTTCCAATGCACCAACCACATTTTCCATCTCATGTTGTCCCAAGTGCTGATCAGAACTAACAGCATCGCAACAGGAAAAAAAAATCCTCACGACGGACAGTTGGTGCTCGGCAGGGTGATGTGAGTGGAAGGACAAAAAAAAACCTCTGGTATCGTGCTGTGTCCGGTATACTGTTGTTGTCACCCTGCCATTACATGTCCTGCTAACAAGTATATCCAAAAATGGCAAGGCATTGTCCTTCTCTTCTTCATAGGTGAACTGAATGGCAGGACGTACGCTGTTCAGTGCCTCATGAAAGCAACCAGATTCACCCTCTTCAGGATGACAAAAGTGTTATTAACGTGCCTACACTAGTTTCAACTGGTAAGATAGAGCCTCCAGCGCAAATGTTTCAATGTGCTTCGTCACTAAGTTGGCCATGGTGACACAGACTGGACTTTCCATAGGGTGTGGGATCTTTATGTGGCAAAAGCCAAAGCACCGCTTTTGGAGTGAACGGAAACGGTAGGCACGGTCGGACCAAACCAAAGCAATACACACATATTTATTTAACTACTTTTTCATCGACGATATTATCAGCCGAATTATTATAACATCAACTGTGATAAACACGCTAAACAACTTTACACAAAATTACACAACAGACAACAACATAACAAACACAAGGCAGCAGCGTAAACGTTTGACTCGCCACAAGGTCCCCCGGCAGACAGCCCGCGGTGCCACGCACCGGGGTCCCGCTGCCAACAATCTTTCATGCCAAACGCCACCAGAGAAAGAGGCCAGCTTATTTCTCGCGCACCGCCACCAAAGCTTGCTGCCAGGCGTCGCCGCTGGCGCTAATGTTTTCTGATCATGATGATGATGGTGGGAATCAACGCTCGCGAACACACCACCTACCACTCAATAGTTGTGACCCCAAAACAAGGCTGCTGTGCGCGACACGAGCACCACGCAGTGCAAACAACTTTACAGAAAGTATTAGCACCCCCACAAAGGCATCTTTCAGTTTGGTGGTAAACGGTGTAGTTGAAACTGAAGTACTTTTTTTTTTTCAGGCAGACCTGCAACAGAATTACAATTTCTTCCACTGACATAGACGTATGGTTTTACAGACTCCTATTTCAACCGAGCCTCCGCAACCTCAATTTACAAAGCAACAGGTACATTGTGAACAAGAAAACAACATCAGAAGATACCATCACATCGTCATCACCAAGATGCTGTGTATACACGACAATTGCAAACTCCCGAGAGTTTTTGACTGACTGGTCATCGTTCTTGGTTAACGGCTTCAGCAGAACAACCAGAAATTTTGACAAGTTATAAGTTGGTGACCCAATGAAGGACACGATAGGACGAAGAGAACAGCCCTCCTTGTGAATCTAGGGCAGCCCTAAATCATTGAAGTGGCCCCATCCGAAGAAAATAGTCGGCAGTACAACACTTGATCAGTGCTTCCTTCGTAGCGCAGTGGCCGTAACTCCTCCACCAGTTGTCGTTCTGACTTAGCTGTCAGATAACGGGTCAGCTTCACAAAATGCAAAGAACCATTCAAGATGCCGTGCATCTTCTCCTCATGATCTTTTGGATCTAGCGAAACCATGCCTTTTCTTTTGTCAGCAAAAAAATATGACAATAGCCTTATCTAACTTGAGATCCTTGAGCGCATCGTGTTCCTCAGCGGTAAGGTTCGTAGAAGTGCTGGTAGAGGAGATCGTAGTTCTGTTGTAGTTCTGCCAGTAACAAACATACTTCAGTTTCAACAACAAAATGTACCACCAAATTGAAGGGTGCCCTATGGGAAGTCCAGTCTCCGTCCCCATGGCCAACTTAGTGATGGAGCACATTGAAACACGTGCGCTGGACTGGATAAGCTACCTTTCCAGTTGAAATTGTACCATAGCTACGTTGATGACACTTTCATAATTCTGAGGAGGGCGAATCTGGTTGCTTTGCATGAGGCACTGAACAGAGTACATCCTGCCATTCAGTTTACCCCTGAAGAAGAGAAGGACAATTCCTTTCCATTTCTGGATATATGTACTTGTTTGCTGGACTTGTTATGGCAGGTTGAAAACAACAGCATACCTGAAACAATGTGATACCAGACGGCTTTTTTCTGTCCTTCCACTCACATTACCCCGCCGAGCACAAATGGTTCGTTATGAGGATTTTCTTTTCCCGTTGCGATGCTGTTGGTTCTGGTCAGCACTTGCGACGACATGAGATGGAAAATGTGGTTGGTGCATTGGAACAAAGGCATTCATCAACGACACTCTCAAACATACGCGAAAAGAAACAAGGAGTGTGGCGCAAGAAAACACAACATCCACTGTTTCGATTCCTTACGTTGTGAGAGTGCTGACACCCCCCCTGTAAAGTTGTCTGCGCCGCGTGGCGCACGTGTCTCGCCCCAAGGCTTTATTTCGGTGGTGACCACCGCCGGGCGATAGATGGCGTTGTGTTCGCTTTGAGTACCTCTGTTGGTAGAGTGGTAGCACCGGCGGTGGCCCCAGGCGGAAGGAAGGCCTTGGTGGTGGGCGAGAGTTGAGCGAGCCTCTTCTGCGCGTGGCGGCTGCCGCGAACGGTTGTCTGTAGTGTGGCTCCTCGGTGCTCAGCACCGCGGGCTTCGCGCCGGGGTCCCACGTGGAAAGTCAGGCGTTGGCGACGCCGCCTTGAGTATGTGTTAGTGTGTTGGGTGTGTTAGTGTGTGTTTATCATGTTATTGTGTGTTCAGTGTGTCACTGCGTTATGTTGTTTGTATGGTAGCGTGTTAATTGAAATTGGTTATCATTCAGCGGACGATATCGTCGTCTAAATTAGTTAATAAATGTATGTATGTTGTGTGCTTTGTACCGACCGCATCTGCTGTGTCCGTTCACTCCAAGAGCGTGGCGTGGCGAGGCGCTCGTTTGCCTCGCCGGGACGCCCACAACGTTAGTGTGTCAGTCTCTGTTCGGAGAGCAGTTCGTCCGCTGTGTATGAAAACCATTTGCTAACCTCGTTGTACCTTGTGAAACCTCTTCACCAAACCCGGAGACCGCACCTCTGCGAACGATTAAAGCACGGTTGTTTACGAGGTGCCATGTATTAAAACAATTTTCAAACCTCATTGTACCTTGAGGAATGTGTTCACAAAGCTCGAAGACCGCACCCCTGCAAACAATCAAAGCGCGGTAATTTACGAGGCACCATGCGGAGACTTCGATGCCCCATACATCGGCGAAACAAGGAGAAAGCGGTGAACAAGCCTCAAGGAGCGTAAAGGAAACGTCGCTAAAGTGATTCATGCCACACATTCTAAGACCAAACTAGCCGAACACCACTGGTTGACGGGGCATGCCTTCGGCTTCAGTACTGTGACGACGCTGGCTCAGAAACAAAGATATGGCATACGAGAGCCTCTCAAGTCACGGTTCATCCGCCGCAACAAGTCGGCATGCAACAACAACCATGGCTCGCTATCGGATGTGTACAGAGACATACGAGACTGGATTTAGACTGGGTGACTTCACATTTGGTGCCAGTGAATACTGAGAATGCCCCCAGCAAAGGTGGTGAATCCTCTGTGTAGCTCTTCTTATATCTTGTTACGTTAAGTCGGAATATATTTTTAATCATAAAGTGCGAGTGGGTGAATATGCAGACAAGGCAGCATGCACGTGTGTGGCCAGTACTCATGCACACATATGGCCTTTGTGAAAGCGCACCGTTGTTGTCTATGGTGAACATGCCCAAGCCATTGCCGCCAGTGATGGTGTATGTGATGCCCTCTTCATCTGTAGCTGTCAAGGTGGTGACCGATGTCCCAGGAGGTTGGTTCTCATCCACAGTGGCACTGATCACCTGTAACACACAACCACTAGAGCTCTAGCAATGCCCTACTCTAGCCTTTGCTCTCACCTGCTCAGCAAAATATGGTGCGTGCAAATTCTCATTGACATCCTCCACTTCAACAATCATGTTGGTAATGCTGGTCAAGGGTGGATCCCCACAATCCCGAGCCTGCACAGTCACATTGTACAGCCGCCATGTTTCAAAGTCTAACATGGCAACCAGCCGTACAAGACCAGTATCAGGATCAACATCAAAATTTTCTGCATCCAAGGAGTACTGGACCCTGCCATTATCTCCAAAGTCTGCATCTTCAGCATGCACCGAAGTTACCAAAGCACCAATCGGAAGGTCCTCTCGAATCCTCACCACATAGGGGGCTCGTGCAAAATGTGGCACATTGTCATTCACATCCCTCACCACTATGTTGACAGTGGCCATGGAGGACAGTGGGTACTCAAGTGCCCCATCGGCCACTGTGACTGTGAGCATGTGATGGTCGTGGCGCTCTCGGTCAAGAGGTCCCTTTATGGTCAGGAGACCAGTCTCACTGTCCAAGTGGAACTGCTCAGAGCTGAGGATGAAATGCAGCTCTGAATTGCGGCCCTGGTCAGCATCTGCTGCCCTCAAGCGGGCCACAGATGTCCCATTAGGAGCATCCTCGTTGATCACAAAGTTGTAGGCTGGCTTCTCAAACAACGGAACATTGTCATTGACGTCGAGTACCCGAATAAACATGGTCTGAGAACTTGACCTCGGGGGCCGGCCTTGATCGTAGACTGTCACGTTCAACAAGTGAGATGGTGCAAGCTCGTAGTCGAGAGCAGCAACCAGCATTAGTGCCCCCGTATGCATATCGACACGAAAGCAAGAATGCTGGTCCCCACTGGATATAACATACACTAAGCGGCCATTGTAGCCATGATCTGGGTCTTTGGCCTGGACGTAGCCTAGCACTGAGCCCAGTGGTGTGCTTTCATTCACAGCCAGCTCTTTAGGCCAGCTTAGCTGTGGACTGTGTCGATTTTCTAGAAAACTGGCTGCAGTCGGTTCACCGTGATCGTTGCCTTGGTTCTGCTCAGAGATCTGTAGTTGATGGCGTAGCTTATCAATGACACCAGCGTCCTTGCATTCCGTGGAAGCTTGCTGTTCTACAGGATGCACCTGCACAGTCATCACGTCAGCGAAGTGGTAACCATCAGTTGCCGTCACATTCACATGAGCAGGCAGCTGCAATCTGCATTCCAAGCTCAGCACACCTGAGCTAGCATTGAGGTGAAAGCAAGCAGTGTCGCTGCTGGCATCCATCTTGTAATGTATTGTTCCTTTGCCACCATTGTCCAAGTCCACAGCTGACAGTGTGAGCACCTGAGTACCAGCAGCTGCGTTCTGCAGTACACGAACAACACAGTCTACCTTCTCAAATTGGGGCCGGTGGTCATTGACATCTCTCAGTGTCACAAGGAGGGCCCTTTCTGTCTGCCGCTGATACGGTGCACCCCAATCTGTGGCACGGATGCGAAGCATATAACTGTGCCGCATGGTTTCGTGATCCAGAACCTCTGTTGTGTAAATCTCACCACTAAATGGGTCAATGCTAAAAGGTACTGCATTCAAGTTCACGAGGCTGTAGCTCACATAGCCATTTTCTGCCTCATCTTCATCGCGAGCATGAACTGTGAATATCTTGGTTCCCACTGGTCTATTTTCATCCAATAACACTTCCCCGGGCATAGGATCAAAGACAGGTGCATGGTCATTGCAGTCAAACACTCGTACAGTAACAGTGGCCACAGCCTGAAGGTGGCCAGTAGCTCCACTACTAGTGGCACTAAGTCGCAAAGAGTAGTTGGCCTTCGCTTCGTAGTCTAGCCAGTTAGCTGTGCTAAGCCTTCCAGTAGCAGTGTTCAAAACAAAATGGCCATCCTCATTTCCAGACTCTATATGAAACACAACAGGCACACGTGCTTTCACTTGCGCTACTGGAGAACCAGGAGGAGCCTCCTCAGGCACATCAGCCTCATAGTAAGAGTGCTCCAACACTTCACTGGTGAGCTCCAAAGGGCTGATGGAAACCTTTTCATCGGTAAACTGGGAGGGCACACCTTGGTCCCAAGCTCGCAGTGTCAGTGTGTAACTCCTCTGTCTCAGTGGGCGCTCTGGGTCAACGCGCAGATGAAACTCCCCTGGCTGAGAGCCAGCCACCACAGTAAAGCAGTCCTCATCATCTCCATCCACAATGGCCAATCCACCAATGGTGCCATGAATGCCAGGGTCATCGTCTGTCACTACCACTACAGCCCACACCTCGGGAGCATCCACCAGTGCATGGACGTGGCGCACAAAAATAGCCGGCCTATGCCTATTGACCGCTTCTGCATGCACTACTACTTGGGCTGTGCTCGACTTGAGAATGCTACCCATCTGGCGCTTGGGGCCCCTATCTTCTGCTACCACAGTCAGCTGGTGAGTAGGCTTCTTCTGGACATCTAGCGGTCGTGTGAGCAAGACTGTTCCCATGGTTGGGTGAACTGCAAACTGCCGTGAGGGTTCTAGCAGGCGGTAATAGATCTCTCCATTGACACCCATATCTGGATCATAAGCATTGAGCTTCACCAGGACATTGTGGATGGGTGTGTCCTCAGGTACCGTCACATTGTACCAGGTGGGGAAAAACAAGGGGCTCAGGTCATTTTTATCGGTCACTCGTATGAGCACTTCGCAATAGACATCGGGCAGGCGCCGCAAGTGCAAGGTGTCATGCACAGAGCCTTTCACTCGAAGATGGTAGGTGTCCTCATATTCCCGATTCAAGGTGCTGGTACTCTCGGTGCGTGCCCGTATGAACAGGAGCCAGAAGTTCCCCACCAACCGGCTTTCAGCTTTAAACTGCCGCTCCTTGTCGCCAGCAATGATCTTGTAGCGGACCTGCACCCAGCACATGCCATCAGCAATGACACCCTTTAGCCAAAACAGGAGCTTACCTGCAAATGGGGGCTGTCCACGTGCACACCCATCTTCTCACTTGGCTGGACATAGCGCTTGGGTTCGGGGTTCTCAGGAATGCTGGCCTCATACAAGCTGCGCGTGAAAGCCAACTGGTCACAGCTTACCAATTTCAGCAGCAGTAGCAGCAGCAGCAGCAGCAGCTGCAGGCCCATAGTCACCTATGCATGTTCAGCTGATAAAGATAGGGGTGAATGGATGAAAACAAATGGGCTTGAGAACATTATCGCACAAATGAAACAGCTGGCAGCCAACAAAGCAACACTCGGCTCTTTACATGAAGCACACAAGACTGCATCACCACCGCATTTAACCACCTGTGACAAGTGCATCACACTGGGCCTGGTAGATCTCAGGTCTAACAAGTGAGCACATATATTGGATACATGCATATTTTTACAGAACAGTACACAAAAGAACACAAATGATTGAAACATAGGGTTTGTTAAACCCCCACCTAATGAGATATAGCAACAACTTTTCTCTCCAGAATGGTTACTTTTCTAATAAATTTTCCTTCTAAAATGCTGATTTTTTATGTTTAAAAATTAAAGCACACTCTCAGTCAAACTATCATGATAACATTCATTATGGCTCATTATATAAGAGATCAGCTACCTACTGGTAATCAAGAACAAAAATAGAGCATTGTCTGCGAATTTTCATCATTCCAATAATAAAAAACCACTTTTCCACAATGACGGAGCGCACATGTCAACCTGCACTTGCAAGAGAAAAGAATAGTGTGGCGCCAGCTGCGAAAAGAAAAAATGAGTTTACCCTACTGCCAAGCAAGATAGAAACTTACAAGTGGGTGGATCTTCAAAAGAGCCATAATTCAAACTAAAAGTAGCTGAAGTAGCCACGTCATTTATTTTATTGCAAAACTTGTTGCCAAGTAGAACAGAAGTGATATTATGAGTGTAGTTTTTATTATTGACACAAAAGTGTTTTTGCTTGTGTATACCACGGCTTCGCTGACGTCTTTCGGTCACAGATACGACGCAGTAAAATATATACTAAGAGATTGCGAAGAAAAAAACTGGAAGGAAAAGTTCTGCAGGAGAGTGACGAAGCAGGCACCCCTCACTTTGCAATATGCGACACAAGCAACCACGCCACGGAGTGTAAGTTGTAGAGCCGGCTAACGGCAAGCTATTTATATACACCATATACCATTGGCGATCCTCAGAGCTCCTCAACTTGACCACGTTTTCATCATCAGTAGCGAGATAACACAACAGCCTCGCATTCGCATATCTTTGAACGTGCCCCTCCACAGGGACTGCCTGCGGGCTCATCAGATCTGACTCGTGACTCAAGAGAGCACGAAGGTCACTTCGCTCGCTTCCGCAGCTGATTTTACAAAAGGCGCACGCTGCTCACATACGATGAAGAATTGTGACATGTTTGCGCTCGTCCTGTGTGTACTTGTGTGTTCGTTTCATGCATCTTTTTTTCTGTTTGAGCAGCGTGCTTTAAGTGTCGAGCTGAGACAGTTGTTTGTCCGCACTCATGCTGTGTATGACCATTTCGCGCGTTCTTTGTGCATGAGGTGCAGACTGAAAGTTTTGAGCTACTTGCCGTTCTTCGCATGAAATTGCAATTTCATGCTGTAGCATCGATTAGTTTGCCCTTGTGGTAAAACAAAGCAAAATACTCAACTACCTCAGTGAAGGCATCATTTCACTTTCGTGATATACTGATTCCTAAAAAGTGGGATCAGCCATGTTTTTCACACAATAATTATTACTTTTTCAATCAGCAAGACTACAAAATATTAACATTCGCATTTTTCTCTTTTATTCTGTCTTGAAGTCATAGATAAAATGAAAATAAGTAAATAAATTTTAATAAGTTCAGTACACTAATGCATAGTTAAGGTAAAAGACGTATAGGACTTCCCAGGTGCACTGTGACATCGAAACATTAATATCAACAAGTAAAAGCACTAACATTAAAATACTTTTTCTACAAAGCCGTAGATAATATTCTTTTAGAAGAGTATACGTAATAACAATTTAGCTTAAGATTCAGATGGTAAAATTTGGTTGAAGGTGAATAGCTGAACTTCATCTAGCTCCAAACCTCTTATTTTTGTCAAGTTCACACAAAAATGTGCCATGCGCACAAAATATATGAGCTTTCGCATAGCATCAGCGTACACAACAACCAGTGTAAGCAATGCCTGAGTAACTCGTTTGCCAGCATGCATGCAAATTCACCACTTCGTTTTTGCAGGAACACTACAAGTTCCTTTGGGTTGCCTCGGTGTTCACCAGCTTGCTAATGTGGGAAAGGGCACCGTGTATATTAGCTGGCACGGAAAAAAATTAGAAATGGTGTATTTTATAATTTTATCTGCAAATTAAAAAAATGGCTACTTATAGGAACACTAAAGAGAAACAATGACTTGGTTTGGATTGACGAACTGTATTCTGCGATTTCTAATGCCATATGTCTCATTGACATAGATTCATTATTGGTGAAGAACACCAAGATTGAAGTCTCATTTTTAAACTCCGCACTGAAATCTCTACGCACGACATAAGAAATATCAAAGTGTACTTTTTGAATTTTTGCGACATTGGCAGAATGTACTTCTCGCATTTTCGTGACACTTGCTTGATATTTTCAGAAAATTCGTATGCTAGCTCTATGTCACTCACAGATGACAATTTACGTACTTCATTGCTATCAATTAAAAGCTAAATGGAATCCAGTACATATCTTCAAAATCTATGAAGTCATGGTGTTTGGTACTGAAATCTCACGGTAGTGTCTCCACCTGCACCTTTATTTTTCACGCGTTTTCTCGCTTACCGAGCTCATGTTACCATAAGAGTGGCATCTTCACGATTGTGAAATTGTATTTTACTAATACGTAAAAAATTGTTTGCCTCTTAAAGGGCCCGTGAACTGCTTCGGATATTTTTTCAAACATTTGAAGTAATAGAACACATCGTGTGCACAATGCCATCGTGCTCAACGATTCTACAAGTGGCAGCGCTACGAGCCGCCAGCATTCCACGATTTCCAGAAAACAAACCCTCCCTTCTTTCCGGACTTTCAGCCCTCCACGTGATGTGCCATTCCATATATCTGATGCATTGAACCAAATATGTTGCAATTGGTCCAGCAAGAGCCTACAACGTCCGGTGAGTTTGCAAACAGCTGTCCGCGCTTCTTGTTGTTCGACGTGTTCTGGCACCGCGTGTCCCCGTATGGATCTACTGCGTTGGCAATCCTCTTAACGCTTGCACACAATACAGGGTCCATACTTATGGCAGCCACAGTTCGCCAGATTATGGCAGCCACAGTTCGCCAGATCATGGCAGCCACAGTACACCAACAAACACGCAGCTACAACACAACTGGCGGAGTCGACGGCCAGAGTGGCGGCAAGCGGAAGTAGAAGGTGTTTAAGCAGTGCGTCAGCGATGACGTATGCCATGCGAGATTGGTAGGGGCATGGGAGGGGCGCTCGATGAGAGGGCAAAGCAGCTTGGGAGAGGATACCAGCGGAAGGGAGCGCAGGAGAGAGCAAAAAGAGTAATCGTCACGGTTTCGATAATCAAACCCGTCCAACTCCGTGATTACTGCACTGTTTTCAAAAATTGTCACGGCTCCGTGTTCATCGTACACTTATGCACAATTTCCCCACTACAACTGAATATCGACCCCTGGGTGGTTTACGGGCCCTCTAAGTGTCCCTGTAATGTATGTACTAATGGAAGTTCGAAAGGAGCCACAAAGTGGTCATAACGACAACCTAAATCTTTTGTCGCCAGGCGGAGTCGCAAAGGAGCCAATTAGGTGCAACACAGCCACCAACAACAACTTTTCCCACAAATGAGAGTGTATCTTATTCAAAATGCTCATGCGAAGATATTGTCTAGAATTGATGTTTGTGCAGAATATGTGTAACCAACCAACTTTATGTGCAATCAACTAGTGTTGCGGAGCTGCCAATCAAGAATCGGAATGAATCTGGAATCATTACACATTTTCGGACCCAGAATAGAATGGTGACAAAGTTTGGAGGAATGAAATTACGCAGATTTGGAAAAGAATGGAATAGGAATGAAATTACGTCCATTTTCGAAAAATAGAGCACATTTTCGTAGACGTGCTGTTTTTTAAACTTCGACATTAGTAAGGCAGACCCTCGAATTTAACACTAAAGCAGTACTTTAAGAACGCTTGGCTGATAACAAGCATAGCACATTTATAAGTAGCCCACCTACTACAATTCTGTCCTTCTATAAACTGCGTTGCTCTGAAGTTTTTCCTCTATTCTTTATGTAACCACGGCTCTATACCATGGTATCCACTGTGCAAAACTATAGTGGCAGCATACCCACTTTACACCTTAGTATTTTTTCCCCTCGGTTGCGCCTCAGCCACGTGCTGTCTCCCCGTGCTTCATTTTGTTTTTGATTCTGTCGCCACCTACAAACTCGAATGCATATTCTAAAAAGCGCTTCTCTAAGTTGTAATGTGTATTGACGCTGGTGCGATGCTTGTGCTTACTGCAGGCGTTCGTACACCAGCTTGCATGCTGTCTCAACACATATTACCCCGTCTTTCTTTTTTCTAATACTGTCCCCCCCAGCCTACACACATGAGCGCCTTTGTCCGAAACACTATTGCAAATGTCTGTACAGGGCAACGCAGCTTATATTCGAACATGATGATCTGTGTGCTGTGAGAACTGTGCGTGCGATCAACTTTTGTGCAAGATGAACCCTACAGAGAGGGATGGAATAGACATCTGAAAGGACTAAGTTCGGTAGCCAGTCAAAGCAGGTGATCCCATGTAAGCAAGACAGCCCTTCCCGATTCGATTATCACGATTCACTGTCATCATTTTAGCATTAATGCATTTTAAACTTAAACAATATCAAAACATCACTATTCGTTCAAACATGCACTCTTAGAAAAAGAAAGTCTGCATATTTACTTGCTCCTGGCTGTAGATACCATAAAGGTAATAAAATATGCTCAAAACAAGTAAATACATCTGTTTACTAATTTTTTGTCTAAGATTGTGCTGACCATTCAAATGCTATAGGTAACAGGAGAACTGCCCCTATGGCAATTATTCCTGTGCTTGTACTGCACGAGAAAAGTCACCAAGCTACTATCCCTCGATCGTGGTAACTTGTTTTCCAT